GCAGGATTAGCTCTACTTACAGACAGAGAAGAGCAAGGAACGATAAAGCAGACTGGAAAGTGTAGGGATGAGTAAAAGCTACTTCAGCCTCACATGGATGAGCTCTCATGCTGAGTCACTGTCATCTAACAGCAGGACTCCTTTGGGCATACACACTTCTTGGAGATTCAGATGTGAAATATCTGAACTTCTCACTTTCTATCTATCACCTTTGGTACTGAATGGATTTCTAGGTAGCTTAAAGCACACTCTACTTTTTTTTCAGAGTTCTCAGTTGCTGTATATGCTTGATTAAAGTGCCCAAATAAAGCCATCCAGAGAAAGGTGACGTACAGTTCCCACCACTCACTAACATAGTCTTAAAACACACACATGCATGTAATAATAGGATTCTTTCCTTGCTTAAATTGTGGGGCTTCATCAAAAAGTCCACTAATACAACCAGTTCCAGGCTTCAATTAGATAAACATATTTTGCCTAGAGACAGACACAGAAACTATTTTTGGTTTACTATTTTAATGCACATTTGGTTTAATGTAGATATTTTTTCACAACTACCCAGGTTAGAGCTTAGGGAATACTGTGCAAAGCTACTTTCACATATTTCTACGAAAAATTACCTATATCATCTGATCCTGTGACATTTAAACTAACTTGAAATGCAATCTCCTGGAAAAACCTACATTGTAAGATAGACAACTAAAGCTTTGAGAACAAAACTAAAGAGCTGGACTTTTTTGTTTGATCCTGAACTAAGCACAGAAATTACTTTGGATAAGGGAAAGTTACATCTCCATTTTTTGTCTTCTCCTAGGATTTGAATGGTTATAGTTGCTATGCAGCTACATGGAAATTAGGTACCTAGGGATATTTGTATCCTGTCTCAAAGGAAAATGCAGTTCTCAAATGAGTAAGTTCATTCTTACCTATAAGATGGAGAAATTAACTTCTGAACTGTAATCTTATCAAAGTTTACAGGGCATTGATGTCAATAGTCCTCACCTTTGTACATTAAGGGCATGGCTTGTTACACCTGCATGTCATTTCCTTTTAAGTTGAATACTTAGAATTTGTGAATTGACCCTTTGTAAGGTCTCCACAAACTGTGCTTCTAAGGACTTCAGTAGACCATGTGGTATTGTCCGCAAGTATGTGGATTTTTTTGTTGTCGTTCAGGGGAATGTTTTGTTTCCACAATTGACAAAATCCCCAAGAAAAAACATGCACTACTTTGCCAGACATGCGTAATCATTAAAGAAACCATTGGCATGTTGACAAGGATGTTACATAAATTAACAGTACTCTTGAGAGCATATTTGTTGGGTGGCAGCAGGCAATCTGAATGTAATAAGTATGTATTTTGGTAGGTTGAAAATAATGTTGCCTCAGAAGCCTGTATGACACTATGTACCTGTCTTCTCCTGGATCCAGAGCACTTCATAACAACATATGCTTGCCATGAGCAACACAATACAGTTTTGGGTGCAGCCAGACCACCACAGTGCAAGGCTACGTTTTCCTTGTCAAGAGAGGTGGGGGAAGTTGTGCCTCACTCCTCGCTTTTCTTCTAATGGCGTTTGTTGCAAAGGGACTGAAAAACTGAAACAGAGATTGTGGGC